CAACATGGTGACACTCTGTCTCTACTAAAAATACAAAAAAATATTAGCCAGGTGTAGTGGCGCAGGCCTGTAATTCCAGCTACTCAGCAGGCTGAGGCGGGAGAATTGCTTGAACCCGGGAGGTGGAGGTTGCAGTGAGCTGAGTGAGCTGAAGTCACTGCACTCCAGCCTGGGCGACAGAGCGAAGACTCCATCTCAACAACAACAACAAAAAACTTTGCTCCTCGAATGCTCAGGGAGACTGACTTGAATAGTAATAAAACTCCGGTCTCCTGCACAGCCTGGTCTGTGTGAATTACTCCTCTATTGCAATTCCCCTGTCTTGATAAATCGGCTCTGTCTAAGCAGCAGGCAAGGTGAACCCGCTGGGCTGTTTCAGGGTGGCCGGTGGAGGCAGAGGGCTGGGTGCTGGGCGGTGAGGCTCCCAGGGAGCAGAGGGTCAGTGGCAGAGGCCTGGGCAGCCAGGATCTTCCGGGAGCGCCCGGGACCCGCCCCTTAAAGAGGGCAGCGACCCCAGGCCAAGATGGCTCTGCTCTTGAGTCCTGGGTCCTGGGTAACAAAATGCAAAGGCGCCCTCCATGTCCCTCTCCCGTCTATTTCATTATTCCTATCTTTCATTATTCCAAAGAGCATGGATGAAAAGTGTGCGAGCTGAAGGTAAGTTCTGAACACAGGTCCACTTTTCAGCAAGGGTAGGCATGGTGGGTGGAAGGAGGGGCCTGGGCTGGGGGTACGAGTTGGTGGATGCTAGGTCCTCGGCTGCATTAATTCGGCGATTGTGTTGGACCTTGGGGAGGGGCTCCGGAAAGGCCATGTTGATTCAATAATACTTATTGAGCCCAATAAATATTTGAGCCCAATCTCATATTTGTTGAGCCTCAATAATATCTACTGATCAAGCTAGATCATGTGCTGGACCCTGGGGAAGTGGACACAAATATCTTGCCCTTACTGGTTGAATACTAATGAGGGGACCTAACTAGGAACATATAAATGCTGAATTTCAACCTTTCTAAAAACACCCTTGATAAGAAATTAAAATGTGCAGTTTCAAAGTGTGGCAAAGCCATGAAAGAAATGACAGGGTGGGGTGGCTCACACCTGTCTCGAACGCCTGACCTCAGGTGATCCCCTGCCTCCCGAAGTGCTGAGATTACAGGCGTGAGCCACCTTGCCGAGCCTAGACAGGCTTTATCTCCATGTGAGAGGCTTCCACAGAACTCTGCCCTAGGGACAGGGCGCGGTGGCTCACGTCTGTGATCCCAGCACTTTAAGAGGGTAAGGCAGGCGGATCACAAGGTCAGGAGATCAAGACCGTCTCTGCCAACATTGTGAAACCCTGTCTCTACTAAAAATACAAAATTTACAAAAATTAGCCAGGTATGGTGGCGCTTGCCTGCAATCCGAGCTACTCGGGAGGCTGAGGCAGGAGAATGGCTTGAGCCAGGGAGTCGGCGGTTGCAGTGAGCTGAGATCATGCTGCTGTACTCTAGCCTGGCAACAAGAGCAAAACTCTGTCTAAAAAAAAAAACAAAACTACAAGTTCTCTAGATGTGCATTTACGATTTGGGGAATACATTTAACAGTAGTTAAGAACGCAAATTATGGTGCTAAATAGGTGTGGCCTCAAATCCTAGTTACTTAACGTCTCTGAGCCTCGTTTCCCATCTGTAACCACTGGAGGTGTGGTAAGGAGTAAGCAGGTGTCTGTGACGTGCTTAGCCCCATGATTCGATAAATGGTAGCAAATGTTGTTATTTATATTACCTAAAGATTGTTCTGTTTGTCTCATTACTTCATAAGACAGGCAGATCCCAAATTTGGAGGATATATTGTGGAAGATCTAACTTAAAATAAGGCCCTTGTGAGGCCCGGCACGGTGGCTCACACCTGTAATCCCAACACTCTGGGAAGCTGAAGCACGCGGATTACGAGGTCATGAGATCGAGACCATCCTGGCTAACACGCTGAAACTCCAACTCTACTAAAAATACAAAAACATAGTAAACAAGAGTGAGCTTGGGCAGCTCAGAAAATCCTGTTTCTGTTGAGAGAAATAGGGAAGTTAGGATGGGAAACTGGTTTGGCTGGGCGTGGTGGCTCACGCCTGTAATCCAAGCACTTTGGAGGCCAAGGCACGCAGATCACTGAGGTTGGGAGTTCAAGACCAGCCTGACCAACATGGTGAAACCCCGTCTTTTAAAAAAAAAAAAAAAATAGGTGGGGATGGTTAGTGGCACGCAGTTACTTGGGAGGCTGAGGCAGAAGAATTGTTTGAATCAGGGAGGTGGAAGTTGGAGTGAACTGACATCACGCCACTGCACTCTAGCCTTGGTGACAGAGCAAGACTCCTTCTCAAAAAAAAAAGAAAAAGAAAAAAGGCCCTTGTGGGGCCTTATTTATCTAAAAATGTATCTAGAATTTTATCCTAGAAATGGTGGCTCTCAAACTTTAGCATCCATCAGAATGACCTGGAGGGCTGGCCCCACCCCATTGCTGATTTTTGTCTAGGGTGGGGCCCAGTAATTTGCATTTCTAACAGTTACCATGTGAGGCCGCTGCTGCTGATCTGGGGAAAACATTTTGAGAAACATTGACCTTGTAAATAGTGGTAGTGGTAAATATGATGGTGGTGGCGGTGGAGATGGTGACAGTGGGGGACATGGTGAAGACGGTGTTGGTGGTGGCGAAGGTAATGGTGGGGGGTGGTAACATTGGTGGTGGCGGTTGTGGTGGTGGTGACAGTGGCAATGGCAATCACATTGATATTGGTAATGGCGCCGGGCGCGGTGGCTCAAGCCTGTAATCCCAGCACTTTGGGAGGCCGAGGCGGGTGGATCACGAGGTCAAGAGATCGAGACCATCCTGGTCAACATGGTGAAACCCTGTCTCTACTAAAAATACAAAAAATTAGCTGGGCATGGTGGCACGTGCCTGTAATCCCAGCTACTCAGGAGGCTGAGGCAGGAGAATTGCCTGAACCCAGGAGGCGGAGGTTGCGGTGAGCCGAGATCGCGCCATTGCACTCCAGCCTGGGTAACAAGAGCGAAACACCGTCTCAAAAAAAAAAAAAAAAAAAAAAAAAGGGAA